CAAGCTCCAGCTTTGCATTGGCTTGACCCCTCTAAACAAATACACAAAAAATAGCCATTTTGAACATAAATACATCGTTTACTGTGGTTTGTAGATTGCCACTTATTATACACTGATAGGGATCAAGTTGGACAATATTTTTTGCTAATAAGTTTTCTGTTGGTAGAAAGATAATGCAAACATAGGACTTGAATATTTGGTAGAGCCCAACCTCACTTTCAGTGACACAAGCAAGTGGAAGGCCCATAGGTGCTCTCCTCCTCCTCCTCATCATCATCACTTTTATCCCTTCTTTAGCAAAAGAAGCTCCCAAGTAGCATGGAAGCATCAACAACAAGCTTGAAAGCAGAGCATCTAAAATACATGACAGATAACTAGACTTCTTGACATGACCAGTCTTGTAATGAGCAGCTGAGTTAGGTAGCTAGCGGGAATGGCTGTCAACAAGGTGACAATTGGAGAGAGCCAAAGGCAGGTGGTCTATGAAGAAAACGGTCAAAGGTTTACTGTAAGGGCAAAGAAATGTAGAGCCATGCTAAAGGAGAAATGTTCTAAATCAAGTAAAAGTTGAGACGCCTCAGAATTATTAAACTCTTAGGAATCCCAAGATAAAGCAAAGTAAGTATTTAAAGGGCACTCTGACTCTACCATCAATTAACTGGCACTCACAATTAATAACAAGCTGAAATGTAATGGAAAGATTCAACATGAATAATTTTTATTTGGTGTCTGCTTGGTAATTGTCCATTAAAGACATCTGTTTCATGATTTGTTGATATATCTCCACTAACTTTCTATAAATCATTATATGCTATTTCTGGGCAGATATTCCAAAACTTCTATAAGAGATAGGATATACGTTGGCTTCGATGCCAAATTGTTCAGTCTGAATGCTGAACATCTGGACTAACATGTTGTTAAATTAACTATTGTGTTCGGGGTTTTTTTGTGTGACTTCATCACACTATAAATTCATATTCAACTTGTACTCTGCTAAGACCCCTAGATCCTTCTTACTTGTACCTACATGTCATCCAACTCATATTCGTGCATTTTATTTGTCTTGTCAAGATATAGTAGTTTCCATTCATCCCTGTAGCATCCCCGCCCCCCCCCCCCTTTGATTTTGGCATTCTGTTTCATTTAGGAGTTCTGGTAATTTATCCTGTCAGGAATTCATGTTTTATTATTTAAGAACCTTCTCTTAAGTCCAGAACTGTAGACATGTTGATGAGAATGTGTGGAAAAATTATTTTCTTGGATGACAGTCCCTAGAATCCTTACCAGGAGAATAATAATAATAATAATAATAATAATAATAATAATAATAATAGCACAATAAACCAGAGCTGACAGCTGGCACAACAAAGCATTGCATGGGTAGTTCCTTGACATAGTTGAAGGAAAAGTTGACAAGGAGAAGACCTGGTTATGGCTCATGAATGGAACACTGAAGAAGGAGACAGAAGGCCTGATTCTTGCAGCTCAGGAGCAAGCCATCAGAACAAATACAATTAAGGCCAAGATAAAAAAAAAATCAGCTGATGACCCAAAATGCAAACTGTGCAAGAAAGCTGATGAAACCATTGATCATATCCTCAGCTGCTGCAAGAAAATTGCACAGACGAACTACAAACAGAGGCCCAAATGATTCATTGGAACTTATGTCACAAGTACCACCTGCCAGTAGTAAAGAACTGGTGGAATCATAAACCTGCAAAGGTAGCGGAAAATGAACACACAAAAATACTGTGGGACTTTTGAATCCAAACTGACAAAGTTTTGGAACACAACACACAATTTTGGAAAAGAAAAAAGTTTGAATTATTGATGTCGTTATACCAGGTGACAGTCAAATTGACGGAAAAAACTAGGAAAAACTCAGCTGTTATCAAGAACTCAAAATTGAACTGGAAAGTCTCTGGCATAAACCAGTACAGGTGGTCCCAGTGGTAATAGGCACCAGGCATGTAGCCAGGGGGGGGGGGGGCTTGAGGGGCTTCAGCCCCCCCCCCGAAATTCTCATGGTGGTTCGCGAAAAGGCCTTACTGTTGCATTATTTAAACTGTTATGTTTATTCATATCATGATCTGATCACCATACTCAATATATCCCATATGCATGGGGGTATTGGGGTAATGATACAAAAGGTTTGCTAGGCTAGACCCTCTTTCACTCAGACTCAGCCCCCCCCCCGAAACTCAGCCCCCCCGAACCCCCCCCTGAAATTTTTTAGCCCCCCCCCCCCCCCCCGAAACGAAATCCTGGAAATGGTCATCGACACACTGGGTGCCATGCCAAAACATCTCAGCCGGCATTTGGAAACAATAAACATTGACAAAATCATGATCTGTCTACTGCAAAAGGCCACCTTATTTGGATCCACATGCATCATTTGAAAATATATCACACATTCCTAAACACTTGGAAAGTGTTCGACTTGTGATTTTGTGATACAAAATCAAGCACATAGATCTTGTTTGCTGTGTCATACTGTGTTTTTGTGTCCATAAATAATAATAATAATAATAATAATAATAATAATAATACTTTATAGACCGCTCTATCTCCCCAAAGGGACTCAGGATGGTTTCCAACATGTATGGCAAACATTCAATGCCAGAAAGTAAAAAAAAAAACATTCAAGAATGTTTCTACGCCTGTTTCTTATATATATATATATAATTGTGATACATAAAAAGTGGTGGAACAATTGGTTGGGATAGAAAAGAAAAAAGGGGGGAGGGGGGAACACACCCTCACACATACGCACACTCACACATTCAATCATTCAGAATTCCAGTGCAGAGGGTGCCAGCTTAAGCTGGCCTTACTATTGGCTTATATAGCCAAATACTGACTCTTCTGGTTGGCAGCATCTATCTGGAATCAGTGCCTCAGAGCAACTCTTTTCCTTTGATTGCTGCTTCAGCTTTTAACTTCCTGGTGCTTTCCAGGGCTATCCACATTACTGTATTGGTTGGGAACTATGAGAAACAGTCCAACATAGCTGGAAGGATGAGTCTTTAAAACAGAGAGAGGAATGCAGTGCAATCTTTTAGGCTGGAGATACTGTGGAGTAGAGTCTGTGTCAGGCATGGGCAAATTTAAGCAGCTGAGGGGGGGAAGTAAACGGCCTGAGGCTGTTAGGAATTGTGGGAGTTGAAGTCCAAAACTCCTGGAGGGCCAAAGTTTGCCCATGCCTGGTCTGTATTTTCCAAAGGCACCAGATCTCATTTGATCTTGGAAGTTAAGTAGCCTTGGCCTTCGTTACATCTTGGAAAGGAAATCACCAGTTAATACCAGATGGTATAGGGTATATTTCCAAATATCTGGAAAAACTTCCTTGGAGTATGTCTTGCCTAAGAAAACCGGTACTGCTCCATTAATCAGGAGGAGGCCACAAGAGGGCGCTGGAGAAAGAAGAATACTCCATTTAGGGAGAGGGGAATTGAAGAAGGAAAACCATTTTCCCCATTTTTGCTGGTTATTCCCCCTGCCCCTCCCCATATCATAAATGAGTTGTTTCAACAATGGGGACCCGGGTGGCAGGGAATAACTGGAAAACAAGGGGGGATGGTTTAACGCCTTCAACCCACGCTCCACCCTGTAAAATGGTCTGTCCTTCTCTCTCTAGCACCCCCTAGGGACCTCTGCCAGGATAATGGAAACGTTCTGAAAACCCTATGAAATTTATAGGGTCCCATATCATTTATAGGGTCCCATATGGCGTGGGCTGGTCCATGAGGTCACAAAGAGTTGGAAATGACTGAATGAGTAAACAACAACAGTAAATCAACAATATTTATGTATTATTGTGTCAGAAGCAAGTTGAGGGTACAGTTAAAATGCATTTAAAAACACAAAGTTTAAACAAGAACTTGGCATGATGCTAAATGTCTTTTGACCTGAAGCTGACCCCTTGGAGTGACTTTGGTGTCGCTGTGAGAAGATCCTCCATTGTGCATGTGGCAGGGCTCAGGTTGCATTGCAGTAGATAGTGGTTTGCTCTTCTTCGCACTTGCATGCCATGGACTCCACTTTGTAGCCCCATTTCTTAAGGTTAGCTTTGCATCTCGGGGTGCCAGAGCGCATTCTAGGAGTTGCATGTTACATCTGTAGACAGTCCATGTTTTGCAGGCACATAGCAGGGTTGGGAGGACAATACCTTTATAAACAAGCAACTTGGTATCCCTATGGATGTCTTGGTCCTCAAACACTCTCTGCTTCATTTGGAAAAAAGCTGCACTTGCAGAGCTCAGGTGGTGTTGTATTTCAGTGTCAATGTTGACTTTTGTGGAGAGGTGGTTGCCAAGATAGCAGAAATGGTTGACATTTTCTAATGTTACACCATTAAGCTGTATTTCTGGCACTGAAGAGGGATTGGCTGGTGACTGCTGGAAGAGCACGTTAGTTTTCTTGATGTTCAATGACAGGCCGAGCTCCTGGTATGCTTCTGCAAAGGTGGCTTGTAGGCCTTCTTCTGAATGCGCACAGAAGCAGCAGAGGAGCATAGCACAAGGGAGGGATTTATTTTATTTGTCTTGTCAGGGCAACCAGTCAATTGTATTACATTTCTACAGAAGCCTCCTCGCAGGATTGCAAGATATCCAGGTGTCACCTGGGTCTTTTCCCCCTCAGCCAATTAAGCGGCTGAGAGGGAAAAGAAAGGGGCCTGAGGCTGTTAGGAATGGTGGGAGTTAGAGTCCAAAACACCTGAAAGGCCCAAGTTTGCCCATGCCTGTCCTAGATTCATCCTAACTCTGAAGGAGCGAATAAGAGCGCATTCGCACTGGAAGAATAAAACAAATCGTGGCATTTATTTTCCATTCAAGAGGGCGGAGTCTTCGTAGACAGCTGATTCTCTCACTCCAGAAGCGACTAGAAGTGACTTGCAGTATGCAAGCAAGCAAGCAAAACAAGGGAGGGAAGGGAGAAGCCAAGTCTGGGATTTCCTTGTAATGCTTCGCAATGCCCTCAAGGTGGCGCCCTTCCCTTCTCCCTTCCTTTTCCAACTTCATTCCACTGCTTGTCGAACCAAACTCCGGGACAGACTGGCAGGGCAGAGCCGGAGGCTGAGCTGGACTTGTTGATCTCCGCCAAGAAGACGCGAAAGGGAGCCCGGAGAGTGAGCGGGGAAGCAAAGGAAGGAGGCAGGCAGGCAGGCAGGCAGGAAGGCGTTCTCCACCCGCCCTGCTCCCTCGGCTTATCCCCACTCGGGCTGCGGCTGATGAGAAGCCGGGGAAAAGGAGAGAAAGACGGAGCAGAGGACCTCTTTCCCTCCGCCCGAGGCCCTTGGAAGAGCTCCTTGGAACATGCGACCGGGGTGATCCTGGAGCCATCGGGAGCATCGGTGGGGTTCCGTGCTGCCTGGCAAAGGCGTCCTCCTCCCTTTCCCTTTGCAAGCCAGGAAGGCAAGGAGGCAGGATGCCAACCCGCGATGCCAGCTCGCCAGGCTGCTTCCCTGCCCGCCTCGCCCGGTACGTGATGTAAGGAGCCGCCCGGCCCAGTTCCCCTTCCTTCCAGTTCCCGGCGTTTCCCAGGCCAAAGAAGTAAGTGGGGAAACTGAGGCAAGGGATGGGCTGGCTGCCTTGGAAAAGGCGACTGGATGGAAGCATCTCCCCTTGGCTTGTTGGAGTTCTTGGCCCCATCCCTGGGGTGCTTTACTCGTCTAAACAGATCCTCTTTCAGACCCAACCCAAACCGAAGCCCTTCTGCTAGGCAAGGAAGCCCCTGGCTTCTCCTGCCTTGGGATTTGTGTTTTCCAAAGCCATCTTGTCTGAGCAACAGCGCGAGGGAGGCTGCTAGGCAGCTGTTTCTCTTGGCTGCCTTCGAGCAGGGAGGAGGAGGAGGAAGAGGGTTGTTATGGCGACTCCTCTCTGCCATTGCTTGGTTGGTGGGGGATGATGGGATCTTCAACTCCGCCCTCTTGAATGGAAAATAAATGCCATGATTTGTTTTATTCTTCCAGTGTGAATGCGCTCTTATACACTCCTTCAGAGTTAGGGTGTATCTAGGACAGGCATGGGCAAACTTGGGCCTTTCGGGTGTTTTGGACTCCAACTCCCACCATTCCTAATAGCCTCAGGCCCCTTTCTTTTCCCTCTCAGCCGCTTAATTGGCTGAGGGGGAAAAGGAAAGGGTCTGGAGCTGTTAGGAATGGTGGGAGTTGAAGTCCAAAACACCTAGAGGGCCCAACTTTGGTGGGCAACAAGTTAAAGGTGAGCCAACAATGTCATGCGGTGAGTTAAAAAGCCAGTGGGATTTTGGCCTGCATAAATAGGAGTATAGTGTCTAGATGAGGCATGGGCAAAGTAGACCCCTGCAGGTGTTTTGGACTTCAACTCCCATCATTTCTAACAACCTCGGGCCCTTTCTTTTCCCCCTCAGCCGCTTAAGCGGCTGAGGGGGGAAAGGAAAGGGCCTGAGGCTGTTAGGAATGGTGGAAGATGAAGTCCAAAACACCTGGAGGACCCCAACTTTGCCCATACTTGGTCTAGATCCAGGGAAGTCATGCCACCCCTCTATTCTTCCTTGGTCAGACCATACCTGGAATCACACTGTGTCCARTTCTGGGCACCGCAGTTGAAGGGACATGTTGACAAGCTGGAATGTGTTCCAAGGAGGGCGACTAAAATGATCAARGGTCTGGAGAACAAGCCCTGTGAGGAGCAGCTTAAAGAGCTGGACATGTTTAGCCTTCAGAAAAGAAAGCTGAGAGGAGACATGATGAGAGCCATGGATAAATATGTGAGGRGAAGTCTTAGGGAGGAGGGAGCAGGCTTTTTTTTCCTGCTGCCCTGGAGACTAGGACATGGAACAATGGCTTCAAACTACAGGAAAGGAGATTCCACCTAAACATGAGGAAGAACTTCCTGACTGTGAGAGTTGTTCAGCAGTGGAACTCTCTGTCTTGGAGTGTGGTGGAGGCTCATTCTTTGGAGGCTTTTAAACAGAGACTGGATAGTCATCTGTCGAGGGTGCTTTGAATACGAATGTCCTACTTCTTGGCAGGGGGTTGGACTGGATGACCCATGAGATCTCTTCCAAGTCTTATTCTATGATTCTATGAGGCTAGATGGCCACCTGTTGAGAGTGCTTTGCTGGTCTCTCCCAACACTATGATTCTCCATTGTGGAGGAGGAGTGCCAGAAACCTATATAAACGTGGGTCTATAATATATCTTCCAACTCTATGATTCTATTAGGAAACAGCACTTTTTGACAGAGAAAGATTTAAATCATAACACATAAGATTTCATAGCACTGAACCATGGCAGTTAAAGTGCTAGCAAACTGCATTAATTCTATTGTCCAGATGCACCCTTAGAAAGGAGCTATCTATTTGGCCAGTGGGCTGTTTCAGCAAATTGGACATCAACATGTGGCCTCTTTCAATAGTCCCTCCCACCACCATTTGTTTCACTAGAGATAGGTGTGGATGGACTTGCACCCCTTTGCACGCACATTCCCTTTCATTTTCACAATCTTGATACAATTCTCTTATCCTCTGTCAATGTGGGTGTGTGTTGATGTAGAATTTCACCCCACCATCCCTGTGAGAAAACTAATCTGCACCAGGCCCGTAGCCAGGATTTTGTTTCGGGGGGGGGGGGGGGCTGAGTTTGATTTGGGGGGGCTGAGTCTGAGTGAAAGAGGGTCTACCCTAGCAAACCTTTTGTATCGTTACCCCAATACCCCTTGCATATGGGATATATTGAGCATGGTGATCAGATCATGATATGAATAAACATAACAGTTTAAATAATGGACCAGTAAGGCCTTCTCGCGGACCACCCTGAGAATTTTGGGGAGTCTAGTATCTAGATCAAGGGAAGAAGGAGCAGGTTTCTTGGTCCTGTCTTCTGTCTGAAGCGTTGCACTCCTTTCTTCTGCCTCCACCCGTGAACCCCACCCCATGACCTCCAAGCCCCCCCCCCCCCCCCCCCCCCGGCTACATGCCTGCATTGCACCCATGGTTTGCTTCTGATATGAGATAAATAAATAAATCCACATATTGATGGGACTATGGAGGACCACTGGATTCATCAGAGGCCACTGTTGTAAGTGGTCATTTTAACCACCGCCTTCTAAACTGAGGCTGTATCTACATTTACTGTGGTGTTGCTGCAGTTTCAAGCCCTGAAAATATCTCTGCCAATATTTGTTTATGTAAATGTCACGATCGGCCTGTCATTGCTTTGAAAAAGCTTGCACGCTGAATGCACAGGGATAGTAGTCTGTGAATGTCATTTGGCTTGACTCCAGGTTAGACTTTCTCCATGTAGACAAGGAAGACTACCCATGCTAAAGCAGGATTTCAGATTAGATGGTCTCATCTCTCCTACTAGCAGCCTGCACTGTGACATATTACATTTGTAAGGAGTTGACAGATGAGGAGCAAGTTCAAGGGGACCCAAGTTGTTTGAATTTCTCTGAATAGCTAAGAAGCACAAACCATGGCTGCTCGTTCAAAAAGGTCATAGTTACACTCCTTGGCAGAAGAAAGCAAGCCACAGAAATGTTGCTGAAGTGACCATTGGAAAAAAATATTTTAGAACCAAGGATATTTTTTTTTAAAAAAATGCTCTTGGATTGGATCTAGCTTAGTCATGCTTTGAAGACTCCCATGAAAATCAATGGTAATCTCATAATTACTAATTGGTTGTGACAAATCTCTTGGCCTACCTTAAGCCTGAAGAAGGCTGGCTATATGCTATAGGACAGATGCAGATTGACATAACTTTAACTGCCATGGCTCAATGCTTTGGGATGCTGGGAGTTGTAGTTTGGTGGGGGTACCAGCACGATTTGGCAGAGAAGGCTTTGGAAAATTACAGTTCCCAGGATTCCATAACAGTGGGCCATGGCAGTTGAAGTGGTGTCAAACTGCATTCTTCTACAATGTTGATACACCCTAAATCTAGATTTTAATCCTCTATTTCAGTTTAATATACTTTCAAACATTGAATTCCTTGGGGTCCTACTTTGATTTATTGGTGATTTATACATGCTGAAATGTAATGTGTAAAGCACCCTTCACTGCGCACCTCACTGTGTAGTACATCTTAAAAGAAAAACATCTATGAATGGCATTGGTTTGAACTGTAAAGTGGCCATCATGGTGCATGTACACCTAGCTTTTCTATTTATGTTTCTAAGAGGAAAGAAGTTCAGATGTGTTAGCGTTTTCCTTCATAACAATGGGAACCAAACCACCTCAGCAACCTAAGGCTTTTTAGTGTAGTGTTGCATGCAGTGATGTAGTAGAACCTGAATTTGTATAAGTATTATTGATTTTCAGCAACTATGGAATCATTTACCATCTCCTTTGGACTCCCCTCTTCCCTTTGCAATGTTTACAGTCATAAAAGGGAAATTGATTTTCAAATGATATGTATATTGTTATGCATGATCCCTATGTGAGTGTATGTGCTTTCGGGTCACCTGTTGATTAATGTCAACTCCATGAATTACATAGCATTTCATCAGGCAAGGAATACTCAAGGGATGGTTTTGCATTAGTTTTCTTGAAATATAGTTATCCCTACTGTAATCAAAATTATTTGAGGGGACTTTACAAAAGACCTGCTCCTAGCTGAGATGAAAACGGCTGGAAATTGCTTTATATCAACAGAGCTACCTGACCTTTTGGACTTTCTACAGAGGTGTTGCCATAGAGATTGTTCTGGTGAGGGCCTGTAATGTTTATTGCTACATGCTTGATCAAGTCTTTGCTTTTTATACAACATTATAACTCACAAATAAAGCCTGAAGTTAAAGCATGTATATGTAGAAGGGTGTTGCAAAGTAACAAAAGGGGGCAACTAAGTTTTATTTGAATAATATTTATCTGCATGTGGTTTTAAACTATCCCCCAGGATGCAAATTGTTGAAAATACCTCCTTCCATAAAATAAGCAAGAATCTGAGGTTTTGTATGATTGACCAATATAACCAAAGCTATGATTTATCCATATAACCAAAGCTACGTTTCAGCTGAGAAAGAGAAAATGTTCACAACTGTAGCAAGGGTACAGGCTGCAAAGAATGGAATGAAGGTGAGAAGAATGCATAATACATATTACTTGAATCAGGCCAAAGTGAATTAAAATGGGCATCGCCCCCCTTTGAATTTGTAGAGATTATCAAATTGCCACCCAAACAGAAGACACAGTTATTGACCAAGAGGGTGAAAACCAAATTCTCAGTGAGTCCATTTCATAGACAGTGCTCAAAGACTCTTCCCAGTTACAATAGGTTCCTCCTGTGTAGGGATTTGGCAACGACTCTACTGAAGTCTTGTATTAGCCCAATGGCAAAATAATCCTAGCAGCTGCCGCCGCACACATACACACCCTTCCCAACTTGCTGGTCTTAAGCCTCTCTGTTCATTTTCAGCACCAGGAGACTGAACAGCGACCTGTGTTCTTGCAGCCAGTCCGCTCTCCGTGCTGCTCCTCCAGGCAGACTAACAGCTATTTATATGTCTGCCTGATTAATTGATCAAGCCGGCAGTCCACAAACAAAGGAAGAGGCTCTTGTTGGATTCTCGGAAATCACCAGGAGTTCTCTGAATATTTTTCTTCTTCTCTTGCAGGCATGGAGGAGAAGGAGAACAGATGAAGGGATCCTGCCCAGAAGTGTGAGTATTTTGGGATTTGTCATCGCCCAGTTCTAGCCTTATAGAGACGAGCAATGCCTGCGGGAATGAACAAAAATGGATCTCGATCGACTACCTCTTTGCCTCCAGATCCCACAGAGATTGTTCGGAGCAAGGCCTGCTCCAGGAGGGTCAAGCTTAATGTGGGTGGCTTGGCTCATGAGGTTTTATGGAGAACCTTGGACAGGTTGCCTCGGACAAGGCTGGGTAAGCTCAGAGACTGCAACACCCACGAAACTTTGATGGATATATGTGATGACTACAACTTGGAAGAGAATGAGTACTTCTTCGATAGGCATCCAGGGGCATTTACTTCAATCTTGAACTTTTACCGCACAGGCAAGCTGCACATGATGGAGGAAATGTGTGCCTTGTCCTTCAGCCAAGAACTGGACTACTGGGGAATTGATGAGATATATCTGGAGTCCTGTTGTCAGGCAAGGTACCACCAGAAAAAGGAGCAGATGAATGAGGAGCTCAAGCGAGAAGCGGAAACAATGCGGGAGAGGGAAGGGGAGGAATTTGATAATACCTGCTGCGCTGAGAAGAGGAAAAAACTCTGGGACCTTTTGGAGAAACCCAATTCTTCAGTAGCGGCCAAGGTAATGTTCAACTATACATTCATTATCTTTGATGGATAGGCCTGGCTCAAATTCATAAGAGCGATGGATGGTGGACTATAGTATTTCAAGCATGTCCTGTGATTGTCCACAACATTGTTTATCACCAAAAGCACTTGCCAAAAGCCTCAATTATCTTTCGGTTTTGTGGAGCCCATTTTTTTTCTTTCCATACTTACATATTCAACTGTTGGGATCTGGTATTAGATTTTAAGTGAGAGGATCTAGGTAGGTAAGACAAATATTGGCACATCAGTCTTCCTTCCTAGATATTTATTGACACAACAGTTGAGGATGTTCTCCAGGGAATGGAATTACTTGATTGGAAGGGCAGCAGTAAAGTACATTTTAGATTATGTGGATACTTCATGTCACAAAAGACAGGCCTGCAATGTAGTTTTGAATATGTAATGTGTTCATCAATCACACACGGATTACATAGAGTTTTGTCTAATCTCTTGAAAAGAGTTTGGGTTTGTTAGAAGGATGACCTTAAAAGTATGGATGCAATGCAACAGATTTCAGTTGAGCATTAGTATGAGCTCCATACTAAATTTCTTCCCAGTGCTACATCCTGAGTCATATTCTCTTTACAATTTGTGGTAGTCCCTAAAGCAGTGGTTCTCAACCTGTGGGTCCCTAGATGTTTGGACCTACAACTCCCAGAAAACCTAGCCAGTTTACCAGTTGTTAGGATTTCTGAAAGTTGAAAGCCAAAACATCCAGGTACCCACAGGTTGAGAACCACTGCTCTAAATACAAATGTTCATTGATATGTTTGATCTTAAACAGCAGACACAAAAAGATATATATCAAGAGATAAATATGAATAGTAATATACTATCTATAGGCAAACCTGGTTGTTTTGGGTTTTTTTAAAAATATAAGTACCAGCAATTACTGGTATATCTTCCTTGGTTTTTATGACTGATGCTAACTTTGCATTTGTTTTTTTTAATATGTGTGGTTTCAGATGTTTCATGCAGACCCAAAGTCTGCATGAAGTATTTTTACTTTGCATTGACACCATAGCTACCATCCACAGCAATTATAAGTTGTCTCCCAAAAGCATTTCTTGGAAGAGTTACTTTTTGGAGTGCAACTCCCAGAATCCTCAGAATTACTGGATAATTCTAGGATTTGTTATAGTACAAAACTATATTTTCCAAGTTCCAGGGAAAACTCCCAACTACCAACATTTCTTGTGGTCATACTGGATCACTGAGGCTTTAAGGAGTATTCATTGGTATGCACTTGGAACTTTTTTCTTGATGTTAAACATTATATGGTACATGTCTGCTTTGTCCTTCAACCATCTGAGGAACTGAAGAGAGCTTCCAACCAGGGTGTGGGCAGAGATGTGGAAAGTAACTCTTTGAACTACAGCACCCCAAACCTTCTGGCTAGCATGGGTGGTGGGTGCTGTGGTAAAAAAATATCATCCAAGCTCTAGGTGAGGAAATGATAGGAAGAGGATGAAACCTGTTGTCATAAGAGACCTCAGGAAAAGAGCCCTTACACTTTGCCTTGTTACATGCGCCCCAGTTTTCATTCTTTGCATCTCCTTTTAAAAGATTCTAAGACAGCTGTGCTGTGAAGGATTTGTAGTAGATGACCTTGGAGAGCTGCTGTTGGTAAAAACTCACACTACTGGGAAATAAGTTACTGAACTGCAAAAGACAGTTTCATATGTTGAGTGGGTGCAACAGACTACAGCAGAGAGGAGGGGAAGATAAGTTGTGTAGCTGGCTTCTGCTTGTATCAACCATTAGGACTGGATTTGAATAAGGGCTTCATCCAGTATTAGTCACAACTTGGGTAGACCCATTGGAATGACTGGGATTTTTTTAGACACCAATTATGTTCCATTGATTTTAGTGGGTTTACTGTAGTTGAGAATTCAATCCCAATTACATCTTCTTATGCTGTGTTCTTAGTTGAGGGATATTCTTAACCATCATATAGTTGTCCATCACATCACTTGTGAATCTCTGTAAGTTTTTTACCCTTTAAATTATTTGGAAGAGGTGACTCAACCTTTTCCAAGGCACTGTCCCTATGTATTTCAATGAGAGGTATTGATTTACATTAGTTTATGCATGCATTTTTTTACACTTAAGTAACTGAACTTGTCTATAGAATCTAATGTGAAAATCCATCCTTAAGATACGGCACCTCTTGGAGCATTATACAGGGTAATAACAAACCTTGGGAAAATAAAGGCTCAAAATCACTACCATACTTGGCAGCTAATTAGGTTGTGCATGTTAATGCCTTGAAGTGGCATATTTTTTCTAGCTACAACATACTTTCAAAAACCAACAACAGGTGTAAATATGAAGGCTAATGCAGATGCAGCATGCATCCATAAAATCAGAAAGTATAAGGTGGTCAGTTGTTTTGAAAAGGATTGTGGCTGCATGTGTGTTGTATTGATGCACTGATTTTCTAACTGAGGTCAAACTAAATAATACATTTCACTTGTTTCTGAAAGAGGTTCTCCTTCAAGTGGTGAATGATATCAGTTTGTTATAGTGTGCCCTCCCCTATGTATCTTTCATTTAATATGCTTTGTGTAGTGACAGGTTATCTGGAAATTGGTTTAATTTGCTATCCTGATTTTTGAGGCACATATCTTAGGGAAGTCCTGTTGCGGATTTTAAAAATGGGTTGCTGCAGAGAATATTTATTATTTAAAATGTATTTAAAATGTTTATATCCCAATCTTCTCAACATCCGTAGAGGGACTCAGTAGTAGGCTTATGCATTCCGCTTAACATCTAGTTGATCCAGAAAATGTCTAGGATTATACTTGGAAGTTTTCCATATCCTCATCCAGTTGAAGATAAATAAGGAACCAGAATTCAATGATATATCTGTATTAGTCTGGATCAGTAGTAGGCAAAGGAATCTTGTCACACATTTCAGACTAATAGAGAGAAAGAAAGTAACACACAGTGCCCATGCCAGCTAGGAGAATCTGGGGGTTATAGTCCCAAAAAAGTAACCTTACCAAACTCTGTGTTCCTGTTGGATCTGGTATTACCTTTAAGACAACTAGTCACATAAGCATTTGTAGATTAGTCTCAAAGGTGCTACAAACTCCAGTGGGAATATAGAGCTTGGGAATGTTACCTTTTTGGACTATAACCTCAAGATTCCCAAAGCATGGGCACTGCATGTTGCTGATTGGAGGATTATGGAAATTCTAGTCCCAAAAGCAATGTTTCTGGGCTTTGGTAAGAACATAGGAAATGCCTTTATACTGAATCAGGTCATTATCACCCACTGAACAGTATTGCGTTCAGTGGGTGATAATGACTCTTCAGAGTTTCAGGTAGGAGATTTTCCTAATTCTTCATGGAGATGCTGAAAACTGAACCTGGGGCTTTTTTAAAAATGTAAAGCATGTACTATTATTTATTTATTTTATTTATTTACAGTATTTATATTCTGCCCTTCTCACCCTGCAAGGGACTCAGGGCAGGATTACAATGCACATATACAGGGCAAACATTCAATGCCAATTAGACATACAACATATATAGACAGACACAGATGCAATTTAACATTCCAACTTTTCTGGCTTCATGAGGATATGCTTGGTTCTGGTCACAAGGGAAGCTGCCACTTCACTGTCCATTTATGACACCGAGTCCTTTGATGGAGTACTTCCATATTCTTCTGCACGCTGTTGTAAGGTTTTATGGCGTTGTAAATTAGTTAAATTAGCCTATACCACTGAGCTGTGTCCTTTCCTTGTTTTTTTAAAAAAATAACATATTGTTTGCCCCTGATGGCACAGTGGGTTAAAGTGCTCAGCTGCTGAACTTGCTGACTGAAAGGTCACAGGTTCAAATCCTTGGAGAGGTGTGAGCTCCCTGTTAGCCCCAGCTTCTGCCAACCTAGCAGTTTGAAAACATGCAAATATGAGTAGCTCAATAGGTACCGCTTCAATGGGAAGGCAACAGCTCTCCATACAGTCATGCCAGCCACATGACTTTGGAGGTGTCTATGGACAACACTGGCTCTTCAGCTTAGAAAAGGAGATGAGCACCACCCCCCAGAGTCAGACACGACTAGATTTAATGTCAAGGAAAAACCTTTACCTCTACCTTACCATTATCAGCCTTCTCTTGTATAGAGAGAAATGAAAAAGGCTTTGTACTCCTGTACTCCCTTGAAATAAGGTGCCCATGACATCTGAAAAATTTTGTAAATGCCTTATCTAAAACAAATGAGAATGAATTCCAGAATCTTCTTTGAAATGAAGAATTCAAGGACAAGCATTTAGTGCCAGGATAAGAAAGCAGTGGCTTTCTGTATATTGCTGAACTATACATATTCCTTCACTCCTGACCATGGGCTAAGATTTGCTGGGTTTTATGGGGACTTTTGAATTGCCAGTTTCCTCATCTCTAACTCTGAGTCTTTTTGACAAACAAATGAGTATTTTCTGAAGGGAGGAGGTTTGAAAACCACACTGCCATTAAGCGAATAATTTAACATGCTGTAGTGGAAGGGATTGGTTTGCTTCCCCGCCCTCTTCTACTCAGCTGACTTTTTTGAAATATCTTGCTCTGCGTAAATGACATTGTGTACAAAACAGTCTATATATTTAAACCCAAGCTGCTGCCTGGGCCTGGCAGGTGATAGTAAAAGAAACATATAGTTTCTGTAAAGTCCAGGGAAGACATTTCAAAGATGAAGGGTTATTTGATGCAGTCTGTCAGGAGAAAGAATGTTGTGCACTTTTCAAAACCCAATTGTCATTTTTATTTCTCACAACAGACAGATCCAGGCTGCCTTTTCTTATATCTCAGATGTCAGAGTACAGAATGTGAATAATTTATCCGGGTGCTTTGGCATGCAACCAGGATCCCAAAATGTCGGCCTCCAGCTTAGGCTGTCTGTGGCACAGACTCAAAATCCATTAGAGGCTGTTGATGTTTCGTGATTTATTGTATATGGGGATGATCCTT